AACCGGCTCACATTAGGTTGGAACTGGTGGAGAGTTGCCCACAACTATGCAGTGCTAGGTACTGTGGATCGCCCCTGTCTCAGTTCCATCACTCTTGTGCGTAGAAATGATAGAGAGGACTCAACCCGGCGAACTTCATGAGCCTGTGGTAGCTTCCATGGATCAGTCGCCTCGATGACCTTCCATAAAATGAGGGCAATATTAGCTGGCGAACATGGCCGTTAGGTGTCTTGGCAGACAAACAGTGAGTAGAGATATGCGTCCTTCGTAGCTTGGATGTAATCTTGCAACGTGGCTATTGGACAGAGGCAATGGTGGGTGCCTTTCTCTATCCACGCCAGTACAACAACAGGAGCTAGGAGGTGATCTTCCCTTTCATTCATAGCGAGTGAGCTTGGAGATGGAGCTAGGGAGACGTGAGATATGTCTAGAGCAATGGAAGTCTAGCTTGCAGGCTGCGTCAGCGCTTTGAGTTGGGATGCACGAAAGCCTGATGCCAACGCAACGAGGAACAAAGATTTGTTCAACTGATCCTCCGGCAATGGAGCCTTTGTGGACTATGGAGTATATATGAGCAAGAATCTTCTGTATTGACGAGAACGGCCTTTCTGGTCTCGGAGGTGGTCGCTGCAGGAAGAAGCTCCGTCAGAATAGGTTGTGAGACCTTTGATGTAGTGATGTGCTAAAACCACAGAGCAAAGGGTCAGCCAGCGCCGCTTAGGGAACACGCGACCGTCGAGGTAGCTTTGCCTTGGCTGTGGGGGAGGGAAGACAGGAAATGAAAGACCTTCTTCTCTGATATGGGTGGCGATCCCTGCTCCCCAAGGAAAGATTCAAAAGCTTTCGTCTACGACTGGTACTGTCGCGAAGTTGACTGCCTAAGTCCTCGGATGATATTTTCGGTTTCTTCCCCAGAGAACTAGTCTTTTAATACAGATCGAAGATATGTCACGCGTGTAAGCTTAAGCACTTCCCTAGTTGCATGCTCCCATCCACCTGTAGCTAGTTGTCCAGAGGAAAGGGGTTCGGCACCACTCTGAGGAAGTGATGCACCATGGTTGTGCTCTCCAAAGAGGAGCTATGACTAAAACTCTTCCCCTGAAGGAACGAAGCTGGGAGCAGTCTCCGAGGAGGATCTTGGAAGTCGGAGGAGGGAACAAGTATATGAAGACCCATCTGTTTCAATTCGGCATAAAGGCATCTGGATCCCCAACTGGTGTCGGCAGTGAGCGGGTGATGTACCGAGGCAGCTGTGCGTTGGAAAGAGCTGCGAACAGATCCACCTCAGGTCTGTCCCACTTTTCCATCACAGAGGCGAACACTTGCGTCTCCGCTGATGTTGTTCTGTCCCGCGAAAAAGCGTCTGTCCATTCATACGTTGCCGACAGGCATAGCCCACTCTTGTTCGCCATCTTAATTTATTTTCTGCGAGGCATAGCAGAACCCGGGAGAGGGAAGATCCCCGTTTTGAAATGCAGCGGACTGCCACTTGATTGTCCATCTTGAAATATAAGGACGTGTTTCGAAGGGATAGGTGATTGCGAGGGAAGAACTAGATAACAACCAGCTCTTTGGCGTTGATGTGCCAGCGTCTTTTTAGTAACTCCCACCTTACCTGGCCTTGGTGTCCAGCCGAGGAATGTGTCCCCATTTCGAGTCTGATGCATCCGTCTCTATGAAGTATCGGAGGGGAATCCCTCGATGGTTTTGAGGTTCCCCGGTTTCTGCCATTGCCGAAGCAACCGTTGTATATAACGTGGTATTCTCCGACGACGATCCCTGATGTCCAGCGGGAATGTATGGTTGCCTTCTAGTGGCAGGAGCCTGTGCCATAACGGACTGAAACGGATAACCTCGGCTGCATAGTTTAATAAGCTCATCAGGCTCTCCCAAAGGCGACAAGTGAAATATGTTGACTGTCGCCAAGAACAATTTCCGCTGCAGTCTTCGTATGTGTTGTCACTGAAGACGACTTTGGGAAGTTGAACATGAAACCCATGTACTGAGCTGTCTGAATTTTGGTGTTGACCATAGTGAACGTCACATGATTGGATGTACCGAAAATTAGGCAGTCGTTCAAGTAGAACAGGGAATTGGCGCCCTTGATAGTTAGGACATCTACAACTACCCGAGTCAGCTTGGTAAACACTCTTGGTGCTATGGAGTGGCCGAATGGCATAACTGTACAGTGGAGTGTTTCTGTTGTATATATGTAGCCTCGTGTCTCCTAGCTAGATTCGACAAAATGCTACTACGACCACATAGTTCGCACGGGCAAATCCTCGATGGAGGTTCACGTTCCTTATAAAAAGACGAATGAACAGGCTTTGTGTGAAATAAAGCAAAGCCTAGGATTACTTTTGTTGTCCTTGTGCCGCGGTGGTGGCGATCTGTTCACACGCAGAGGTCCAGGGTTCGATTCTAGACTGCCATTAATGGCAGTGACTTGCAAAATGGCACCCAGTCTGAGTTCTTCCCCATCCAAACAGGGGTAAAACAAGGATGTGTACTGGCACCAAATCTATTTCCATTTTCTTGGTTGCCTTCCTTACTCAGCCGGCTAAATTGGCACTGGCACAAGTCTTGTGCCAGTGCCAATTTAGCCGGCTGGGTGGACATCCGGTACCGGATGAAAGGATTTTTCAACTTAAAGCGACTCCAGGCAGGAGCAAAGGTGTTGGCCGCTTCCATCATTGAACTTCAGTATGCAGATGACTTCACCCTTGTCGCTCACACTGAACGCGACCTACAGGAGGTCCTGAACACCTACGCAGATGCGTACACTTCGGCCTTAAGGTGAATGTGCTTAATACTCACATTCTGTTTCAGATTGCCCCTGGTTCAGCAGCACCTCCACCATCCATCCAGGTTAATGGTATTACCCGCTCTAATGATCCCACCTGTCCAACTCCGCGGAAATCGATGAAGAGATTCAACATCGGATCAGATGTGCATATCAAGCCTTTGGCAGACTCCATACCCGTGTCTTCAGCTGTAGGGAGCTGAAATTATCTACATAGAGGCAAGTATATCGATCAGTGGTCCCCCCCACCCTGCTCTATGGCAACGACAGATGGGTCACATATTGGAAGCACCTCAAGGCACTTGAAAACTTTCACCGACGTATTTACGTTTCATCCCCCAAGTTCGCTGGGAAGACAAGAGAACAGATGCCAGTATTCTCGCTGACACCAATTGTAGTAACATCGAGGCTACCATTAACCATGAACAACTACGCTGGACTGGCCATGTTACTCGCATGGACGACAGTAGACTGCCAAAGCAGCTACTTTACAGTCGCCTAACGGATGGTAAACGTAACACTGGCGGGCAATGGAAGAGGTATAAGGATAGTCTTAAGACAAACCTGAAAAAAGTGCCAAATCGACTCCCTCACCTAGGAGATGATCACTCCACGCCGTAACGCTTGGAGGAGCGCCACACGAGACAGTGTCAATACTTTCAAGTTAGCCCGACTGCATACCGAGGCAGACAAGCGCCGGCGCCGGAAAGACGTTTGCTGCCGCCCCTCCTGCACTAGATGTAGCCTCTCACACTGCAACTTCTGTGGACGGCCCTGCCGGTCCCATATCAGCCACTCGTCACCTCAGAGCCCACCAACGAAGGAGACATCTTTAATAACTCATTTCATTGTATTATGCTGGATGATCGTCATACTGGATTCCGAGTGACAGCAAAGTAGCAAGTAGTAGTAGTGAGTATAAAAATTATAGAAGCAGCTACTCTAAATTTTTCTAGTGCAGCAGCTTTCAGTGGTGGAAATTTTCATAACGCAGTTATATGTGTTTGCAAGGGTTATCTCTAGGTCAAGTTTCCCTTATTTACTCGATTATGATAATTACTGTATATTCCCAACAGGGACCAACACATTCGTACATCAAATTTATTAGATACCAGTGTGAAGTATTTGCAGAAGTTTCCCTTGTGGTTTGTGTATAATTAACTCTTGGCGTGTCTCAGACACTTAACCTAACTTGTGCCAAATATCCATCTGTTGTTATTATAAAACTGCATAAAACTGTACTATCCACCTAAAACTTGTTTAAGATACTAATTTAAAAGTGAAATTAAAACACAACACCAATTGTATCAATGTCCTACCTGGCGACCCCTTACATACAGTATACATAAAACTGGTACCAAAGCATATATAAAAGTGCTATAGAAATACTTCACAAAGCTTGAACAACATACCCACCTGAAAGGATCGGAGAGGAAGGCATAGAGGATTGGGTTGACGCAGGAGTTAATGTAAGCAAGAACCTGCGCTGCTATCTGCGTAATGATCCGGAAAGTTGTCATCTCGTACAAATCCAGAGACTTGAGCAACAAAACAAGCTGTCGGGAAAGAAGTGTGATATTTTACTGTAGGCACTCAGCACGTGACAGCTTCGATGAACAACTAGTATGTACAAAGAGGCTTTAATTTGCAGTACCGTATATATATATATATATGTAACCGGTCGGAATTTGCTGGACTTTAATTTCTCACTTGACTTGGGGTTTACTAAAATTTAATAGATGGTAAAGGCAGTGGAAGCGCCCCTTTGAGAAAAATCCCGAACCAGCACAAGAACACTTAAATCTACTACACAAAATGAACTGTCCGTGACCCGTGGAAGGATAGCGTCTGTGACTGGGATGAATGAGACACACTGTAAAATTTAGACACTTATATTCCCTCCAACACTACAAACACAATCAAATAATGGTACACCAATATGCGCACCTCTTAACTTAAACTTTAAACACTACTCTGGGGAATAAAAGTTATACATGACATAGAAATTATTAGAAACACAGGCAACAATAAATTTGAAGTATAAAGAAATGTTAATTGCACACATGAACAGGCCTTAAGGGCTTTCACAAAATAATATCAGTCACTTAGGAAATGGTACTAAAAAATAAGAAATTAAATACTCCACAATGAATAGGCCTTAAGGGTTTTCAACAAAATAATATCAGTCACTGAGGAATGGTAATAAAATATAAGAAATTAAATATTCTACAATGAATAGGCCTTAAGGGCTTTCAACAAAATAATATCAGTCACTGAGGAAATGGTAATAAAATTTAAGAAATTAAATACTCTACAATGAATAGGCCTTAAGGGCACTCAACAAAATTATAGCACCCCAACAGATGTACACTTCCTAACCTAACCTACCCACTACTCTGGGGAACAAGGTTATACCTGAGATCAGAATTATGAAGAACAATTAGAGGCATTAAAAGAATCAAATCACAGTATCACTCTGGTTCCACTTAATGGCACAAACATTCAAAACAATATTATCAAAATTATTTAGAAACTATTAAACTACACACGTCAAGATAATATCAGTCTGAGGAATGGTGTTAACTACACCCGTAATAAGGAAGATAAAATGTTCCTCTAGGTATCTCCTAGAATCCTAGACTCACGGTCTCAGTGTGTGACCATTAATATACTCAGATAGCCTCAGTGTACTCCCAGTGCGTCCATGGGCAGGAAGAGAGTGAGCCAATCAGACCTTGTGCAGTTGAGAGAAACTTTAGCTTCCCGTTAGCAAGAGGGTTTCACTAGCTGCTCGGGACATGTGGGGTTGTGCACCGGAGTGGTAAGAACTGATCACCCACTGCTGATGCTGGTCCCGTGTCGTTTTAGTTGTCGGGAGCACTCGTTCACTCAAGAGATCCTTTGCTACCCCGCTAAACAGTGACAGGCCTACACTGATCGGTCCAATGGCGACAATCGCCACCCTCAATCATCAACGGCAGTCAATCTCTCGCAGTCAACTCCGGTCAACTCCAGTCAACTCCGGTCAACTCCAAACTCCAATCAAGTGGGTTCTGACGGAAACCCTGAAATGAACTCACTGTTAGCTCTAGTTTACTTTATCACTGCCCTATCTAACCCTGTCTGAGATCGAATGAGACTTACTTGTTATACTGCAATAGCGCAGCACAGGTGACTAGGCCACGTGACTATTTCTGATGGACGCGCGGAACGTCTTGTCTGTGTGAATGCTCTCCGGGACTGGCCTAGCCAGCGTCGCGTCTCCCCAAGGCGCTAGCTTGGGCCTACGTGATATATTTTCCGCCTAACTAATAACTCCTTGGGACACCCGTAACATTATTCAGACTGCTAAACGATCTATAATAATTTCAAATTCAATAATAGTCCCTTAACTTCATGAATCGCATCATTATTAATTCGGTAAATTACATTTAATATCATATAGGCCTAGTTCCGCAGTCTCTCGCTACGAGCAGGCAGCGCTCCCTCCCCTCAGATGACCTTGAACGCTCAGTATCACTCATGGCGGGGCATTTGAAATTACTCTGAAATTTCTGAATATATATATATATATATATATATATATATATATATATATATATATATATATATATATATATATATATATATATATATATATATATATATATATGAACAGTAGGGGTTGGGACTGTTATTATGCTATATCAAAAGTCTACATGTGTCACTTTTGAAGCCTAAAGGTCATATAACTCAAATCAAGTGTCAAACGTCAGGCACCCAAAAGTATATCTGGAGTTGCAAGGCAAAGCCTATACTATAATGAATATCACGTTATTTCTCCCCTTTTACCGTTCCACCCCTTTCTAGGTGATTCATGTAGTTTATAAAACTTTTATATTTTTCCGTTAGGGGGAAAAAATGGTGCTCCACTCCGAACGTTGAAGTTAATGTTTTAATTCAGTTTCTATTTTACCGAAGTATTTATAAAATAACCATGGATTTGCAACTCAGATTGTCCTGAATGGTAATGTTTATTACGAAACCCACTTCAGTGTATGGTTTCAGTGATCTGATTATGAGAAAAATGGAAACTATCATAACCTCTGTATGAACATGTATGCCGTGTACCCCTTGGAAAAATCTGTTTAATAGGAGACACATGCCATCATATATTATCTGGGACACTGGCAAATATTTTTTCATTCATCTGGTCGTTCGCCTCTGTCGGACCTTCCCTGAGATGAAAATAAAATGTTCTAGGGGTGGCAAATGAACTATTGCAACATAGGAGTTCCGGTCAATGATGCAGGACAATTAATTCGTAAACATGCTTATCAATAAATTTTACTAAGAATATACTATTTTGAAACCATCTTCCCATTCTTAGAAAATTCTTCTATCATCTAGGCTTATGTTGAACCTACTTGAATCGGGAACCAGCAGACGATGAAGGTGACGACGACAATGACGACCATCCTGGTCACTCGTTTCTTACCACGGACACTCTCGGCGCTGCGGCTCCCCCCTGGCACCACTCCGTACCACAACCGATTGAGAATCATCAGGTACAGCACCACGATCACAGTCAGTGGCACGAAGTACATGGTGGTGATGAAGCCGATCTGTGGGGCAAGGTGATGATGGTGAGAAGAGTGGTGATGGTGGTAGAGGTGATGGTGAGAATAGTGATGATGGTGGTAGATGTGATGGTGTCAACAGTGTTACTTCTGGTGGATAAGCTGATAACATAGGTGATGCTTATGGTGTTGAGTAAGCCAATTTGTGATGATAGTGAGAATAATGATGAATTAGTTATAAGAGTGAGAATAATGATGATGAATTAATGATGAGTGAGAATAATGATGATGAATTAGTGACGATAGTGAGAATAGTGATGATGAATTAGTGATGATGGTGAGATTAATGATGTGATGATGCTTCTTCCGATGATGGTGATAATGATGATAATGTTTTAATGATGACAGTGAGAAAAATAATGATACTTTCAGTGATAACTGAAAATAATGATAGCACTTTTAGTGATGATGGTGATAATGATAATGCTTTTAGTGATGCGATTGATAATGTTGCTAATGTTTTGGATATGGTGGTGATAATAACGATGATACTTTTTGTGATGATGGTTATTATAATAATGGTTCTCTTTTGGTGATGATAGTGATAATAGTGAATGGTGATACTTTCAGTGATGATGGTGATAATAGTGGTGATACCTAATATACGTAAGGGACTTGATATTGATAGTAGTGAAATTGACCTATTTGATCGAAATGTACCAGCTCCAAGATTTCGCCTTTTATTTCTCCAATGTGTGTTTTTACTTCACACACACACACACACACACACACACACACACACACACACACACACACACACATATATATATATATATATATATATATATATATATATATATATATATATATATATATATATATATATATATATATATATATATGCAAGAAAAAGAAAACACGAACTTCCCAAGCACTTTCATGTAATTCACATCTTCAGGGTGAGTACAGACTAAGGAGAAGTACAAAGCAAGTATAGTATATATATATATATATATATATATATATATATATATATATATATATATATATATATATATATATAATATATATATATATATATATATATATATATATATATATAAATATATACAGAGGAGGGTGAGATCAAGTCCACAGTGGTCAGGTATTAGGTAATGACCCTACTAATCTTCATAAAGCACGGCAGCAGTCGGTAGTCAGGTCAGAGGGTAAGCTGACCCAACCTTCTCACCTGGTTACAAATCTTCTTAATTACGAAATTATCCAGTTTGTACATACCATTACTCAAATTCATGTTGACGGATTCGGTATGTTTAATGAGACTAGATTCTATAATGTTCCTACTGTCAATTGAATTACAAGGTAATATTTAGGAGGCATTATCCCAGTCAATGCAATGCTTATTATCCCTCAAATGAAAAAACAGAGCATTGGATTCCTTGCCTGTCCTAACACTATATTTATGTTGTTTAAGTCTAGTTACAAGATCTTTACCTGTCTGGCCTATGTAAAACATATTACATTCCTTGCAAGGAATCTTATAAATGCAGCCACCTGTAATGTTGGGGGAGTTCTTGATTAACATTTGTTTTACCGTGCATGAGTCTTTAAAGTCCACATTGACGTTCCAGGTTTTTAGTCTCTCAAATTCCTTTACATATGCAAGATGCTCAGTGAAATGAAAAAATAATAACGGTATTGGTTACTCATTACAAATATATGGGCGGTACCGACAAGACGCCACCTTCAGTGATGTATAATTACATAACCTAATTAATTAATTTCAATATATTTCAAAACGATTAATCTTTCATAAAAGGAAATTCAACACTTCTAACCGCTTAGTGAATGAATGCTAAAGTTATCACTGGAATTGAATTGAGTTTAAATTTGTTATTCTTGGATTATCCTTTATGTCTTACATAGCTGACTACAGTATTTGGAGCATGTGTTTTCAGTTGTACAAGGTGGCTGAATTCCGTCAGATTAGCATACATTTCAAGGGACACTCATTTTTTCTTCGATTTACACCAATCGTTTTTTTATGTATTTATGCTATATCACTACGGATGATTAACGAAGACTTACGTCTTACCTGATGGCAAAAATATATGTTATTTATTTAAAATTATTTTTCAGCAACTTACTCTCGAGTTAATTCATTTAATTGGCGTACACTCTCCTAAAAAGGCGGGAAACGCTCTTCCTGCTCGCTACCGCTGCTTACTCGCTTCTTTGCTGGTGTGACTAAACACTTGGGTGGTTGGACAGAGGTGAGAACAGCAGCTGCTACCCGTGTTACCGGCAGTTTCGCCCCAGCCGCCATACAGTCACTATCTAGCTACCCGGCTGTTCATCAAATTCTGGCTGTGATCTCATCAAAGGTCCTGGACTCGTGGGCTGTGTCCCCAGACCTTCACTTATCGACTGTCAATTCTCTGGTCATCTACCACATACCACGACCGTCAGTTCATTTCATTCCGTCTGTGCCCCTGTGTTCTCCTGCCATTTCAAGACAATCTGCCGCTGTCGCTCGAGTGTGGAGTTGAATGGACGCTTCCCTACCCTGAGAGTACATCACTGTGTTCCAGAACCTTCCCCCAGGGCCACTGCCATAGGAAATATGTTCATTGTTTGA